GGCATGTGCAATGTCCCGGGCGCGCTGAGCAGCGCGTAGGTAGCGCGCACCGCGTGGCCTGAACAGCCGCGCACTGGCAACGTGCAGGCGCGCCCCCCACCAGCGAGTCCTGAGTGATCGGGCATTTGCAACTGAAAAGACAGGCGCGCGCACCTCTCTGTCCGAAGCTGCAGTGGCAAAGGATGAACATATTGCCGCGTGGCCGCGCGCCTAGACCGAATGGCGCAGCGTGAGGTATAAATGTGATATTGCGGCCGAAGGCACAACGTACGTGCCAGCGCGCCTGGAGCTGCGCGCTGCTCGCATCGCGCGCCCGAGCGGCAGGGCCCGCCGCGCGCTGGAGCGTGGGGCACCAAGTCTTTCAGTGAATGGCGCAGCCCTGCCCCGATTGCCTGTCAATCGCGCTCAAAACTCCCACCCTGTTGACTAGGTGAACTGCTGGCGTGCCGGTGGCGAGGCTGACATCTGGTTATGACCTAGGTCCGCGATGTCCCCGTCGAAGTCCGCGTCGAAGGAAATCCACAAGAAAACTAAATACGGCAGCTCGGAATTGCCAAATTGGTGGGGAGGCGGATGAGACGAAGAAGCCGAGTGAGCAACGGCCGTGGCGTAGCCGACGTGCTGGCTGCATCTGGACGTGGTGTCTGCGCCACTCGCTGGATGCGTGTCTGGCCGGCTGCGGTCCAGTCGGGACGAACACATGCTGAATGGTTTGCTGCCCCCGAACGCCAACATGGAAATCCCCCTGATACGACGCCACCACGATGTGAGCTGCGAAGGCGTGTTGGGGTTCGGGCCGACGCAAAGACGAACGCCATGTTGAACAGGTGGCAGCCGTAATCGCGCTGTTGTTTTGTTGACTGGTGCCTAGGGTGGTAAGATACGTACATTCGCGTTCAGCGCCCCCCTCAAATGCTGCGACGCGCTCGCACGGACAGCCAGCACTGTCGCTCACATCGCGAGGCACTGCACTAGGAAGGGCCTCGCAGTCACGCCCGACGCGAAGCTGCGGCCAGTGCCTGTGGGGTGCGATGGGTCGGGGAAGTCGTGGCGTTCCCGTGGGCGAGTCGCTCCACATCGCGGTAACGCCTGCGGCTGCTGTTGCCCTGCGCAGCTGAACTCTCGTACGTCTCATACAGCACACGGCATTTGTTTGTCGTCATCGTCGCCTGTGAGCGTCCTGGACGAATTACCAAACGGTTTGCCGAACAACCGCACCCATTGGCTGTTCGTGGGACGGAGGGTGGTATCGATGAAAACGTTGGGGAACATGCGAATATGCGTCCACATCGCACTATGCGCAATCCCGTGGATCGCGAGGTTGGATCGCTACCAGATCCGCTACCAACTAGAATCGCGGGTGGCAGTGGTGAAAGGTAAGAGACGGCAGTGGTAACATGAGAGATAATAGAGCGGCGGTCGTTTACCTCTCAACACTAAACAGATTCGCGGTCCCGCTGTGGACCAGACGGCAGCGGACCCCTCCTTTTCGAGTGGGGATGAGGAGAAGGAAGAGGAGGAGAAACAAAAATAAACAATAACAGGATTAATACTACAAGATCGCTGTGCGGATAACCCCAGTTGCCCAAACGGCCTTTTATATAATCCTAGAACTCGTAGCGCATTCAAGAGGAGAAGAAGCAGAGGGGGGAGAAAAGGTGGGTCAATTGGCTGACTCAGCGGCCCACGAGAGCAACCACGCGCAAGGCGTTGGCCCGTTGGACCCCGGACCCCGAGCGACTGCCAGAGGCCGCCAATCACTTTGGTCCGCTGGATCGGGTCCGTCGGCGCCAGGCGCCGCACCAGGGCGCGGGCTGCGGCTCTCGGCCGGCCTCCAGTCTCCGGGGCGATCGGCACCAAACCGAATGCTCTCGGGTGCCTTTGGCACTTCCGTCGCTCTGCCATGGCGGCTGCGGCCCCGTTCACCTGCGCTGCCCGCGCCAGCGCTTCCGCGTCGACCAGGGCGACGTGCGTGACCAGTGTCAACGAGGATTCGGGCGCCAGTGGCGTCGTGCGCCACGATCCCTCGCCGCTGGGGCTGCTGAGTTAAGGCTGCGTTTGCCTGGTCCGCACCACGTGAGGTGTGGGGTCCTCCTCCTCCTCCTCCTCCTCCTCCTCCTCCTCCTCCTCCTCCTCCCATTCCTCCTTCCCACTCCTCCTCCTCCTCCTCCTCCTCCTCCTCCTCCTCCTCCTCCACGTCCTCCTCCTCCTCCTCCTCCTCCTCCTCCTGCTCCTCCCTTTACTCCTCCCCCTCCCGTGCCTCCTCCTCCTCCTCCTCCTCCCCCTCGCATTCCTCCTCCTCCTCATCATCTTCCTCCCCCTCTCCTCCCGCTCCTCCTCCTCCTCCTCTTCCTGCGCCTCCTTCTTCTCCTCCTCCTCCTCCTCCTCCTCCTCATCCTCCTCCGCCCGTCTTGGAGGAGGGATCGGAGATCGAACAGGAGGGAACATGGTATGGAAGAGAAGAGTCGAGGGTCCAGGAGGACGAGGAGGAGGAGGACGAGGACCTGGGTCGAGGACGAGGAGGAGGAGGAGGAGGAGAACGAGGAGGAGGAGGAGGAGGAGGAGGACCAAGGATCGAGGCTCTTGGGCGCCTGGGGATCCTGCCACGCTCCTCCAGGGGCCCCGGAGGTCCTCCGGGGGCGAGGCCTCCGGGCGGGAGGCGGCCTCCCGCGGGCCCTCCGAGACCCTACTCAGAACCCGGGGCTCCCGGAGGCCTCGCGGGGTGGCCTCCCCCAGAGGCCAGAGGCCCCTCCTCGCGAGGCGGCCTCCCCCGCGAGGCCAGGAGCCAGAGGCCCTCCCCGCGAGGCGGCCTCCCGGGGCCGGCCCTCCGAGAGCCCAGAACCTGGGACTCCCGGGGGCCTCGCGAGGCTCCCCGGGGCCGCGGAGCAGGGCGGGCTGGCTGCGACGGATCCGCCCCGGCCGGCGGCTGGGCCGTTGTGCCCTTTGCCTCTGCTCGGCGGGGGCGCGCGCGAGAGAGAGAGAGAGTAATCAGCAAGAGAGTAATCGACATGTTGTTTTCTCTCTCTCTCTCTCTCTAGAGAGAGAGATTGAGGCTCTCTCTCTCTAGAGAGAGAGAGATTGAGAATCCCTCCACCCCCCCCTTAACAATTACTCGGTATGCATACGTTCCTCCTCTCTCCCTCGGTCCTGTCCGCGCGGTGCACCTCTGCTCACGCATACTGGTTCTGGGGTATGGGATTTCAACACGTGGTCGTTAGACTGTCTTGTTTCAGTCAGAAAGTCTTCAGTGTTTCAAAATAGTGTTCCCGATGCAGCGCTGGCTTCAGTTTAGGATCGACGCTTTGCTCCCGTCGTTCAGATTGGCGCTTTCGCCCCAGCGCGGGCCACAATTCTGGGTCAGAGGCTTCCCTCATCGTTGTTGTCCCGCTCCTTTCCCCTCCTTCGCCATCCCCTGGTCCTCCTGCTCCTCCCGGTCCTCGTACTCCTGCTACTGATGCTGTTGATCCTTGTCCTCCTCCTTCCTCATTCTCATCCTCTTCCTCATGCTCATCCTCTTGCTCATGCGCCATCTCCTCCTCCTCCTTCTCCTCCTCCTCCTACGCCTCCTCCCCTTCAATGTGCACATCTCCCCTTTACTGATTGTGCGCAATACGATGCGGTCCTCTTGGGTGCCCTAGAAGAGAAGGTACCGATACCGCTACTCCCTGGGCGCGTTCTGACGAAGTTCTCGAGGTGAATCCAGCCGTGGTTACGACGGAGGGGTAACGGCATCGGCACCTGTTCCTCCTCCGAGTCCCTCCTCCCTGCTTCCTCCCCTATGCTCCGCCCTTGGCGAGGCCCCTATCAGAGAGGGCGCCAGCAGCAGTGGAGGAGGGGGGGCCAGAGCACTCAGGGCTCCACAGTACACAAAGAACCAACATCTCCGACCGGAGGTCAAAGCCCTTAGCTTGGAAACTTTGGGTCCTCTGCGCATTCTTCCTCCCCCTCCCCCGAGATCCCAAACCTCCCCAAGTTCTGAAAAAACACGCAACATGCTATTGCTGCGCAATTTTCGGCACATGCGGGCCCTCGCCAGGACCCGGAACCGTCAAAAAGCGACTCGGGATGAAAAGCTGGTCCAGGGGAATTGGTCGAGACCTCGGGGTGTCGACGCTGTGAAGAAATCATGGCGTCGGGGGTCTGGGATCCTGGCGTTGCTCCTTGTTCACGCCGGGCATTTCCGCCGAAACTCGAGGCCTGGGGGCCCTGACAGACCGATCCGGCGCTCGCGACATGCCACAGAAAGGTTGGATCTGGAGATCTCGAGCTCGGGTTGTGATCTTCCACGACGTTGTGTTTTTGCCCGCGATCCCCGCCTCCCCTTACAGTCGGGGCGTTGACCTAAGGAACCCTAAATACGGCACGAGGCCCCTTGTTCCCATAAGTGAAGCTTTGATTCCCCACGGAAACCGAAAGGAAAACCCAAGGCAAACTGTACGACTATCAAGGAGCACCGAGCCCCTCCCCAACGAAAAGGGTTTCTTCTTCAGCGCCCCGACTGTGGACTGGGCGTCGCGAACAACATCGCGACGGCCAGTGGCTCGCAAGCCTCGGCCTGCGTGGGCCGCTTCCCGGGCCCCAGGGCCGCCAGCACAGCGGCTCGGGGTGAATAGCTGGCCTCGTGTGAAGTGGTCAAAGATCGCCGGGGGCCGACGCCACGCAGAGGGGAAGAAACAGGGCATACGGCAGGACCTAGGACAGAAAAAAAACATCCCTCGCGGAGCTCCACACAAGTTTGTGGCTTGTGCAGCTTTTTCTTCTTCCAGCTGCATGGGGGGAGCAAAGGATGGGAAGCACGGATGGGGGGAGCAGGAGAGGGAGCAGGGCGAAGAGGAGGGGAATGACGCGACCTCCTCTCCGCGGGGGAGGGCGAAGAGGAGAATGGGTAGCAGAAGGGAGGGGGAGGAGAAGACGGAGGGAGACGAGGAGGATGGGGAGCAGGAGGTAATTAGGGGGAGGAGAAGGCGGAGGACGACGAGGAGGGGGGGGAGCCGTCGGTCCCGCAGGCAGCCGGCGGATCCGCCGGCGGCGTCGCCGACCCTGGACTCGGCCCTGTCGCCTGGGGGCACAGAAACCTAGTCTTTCCAAGGTCCGCAACTATTTCTGGGATCGGTGCTCGGCCGGGCGTCCAGAAGCTGAGATCGGCCAAACACATCCCGTCGTAACTCTTCCACGGCGCGAGAATGTCTGTGTTGGGGGGCCCATGGATAAGCTTGAGAAGTCGGCTACGCGCAAGAGGGACGCCAGGCAAGAGTGACCTCTGGTGTGCGACTCTCGGGGGCCGTGGGGAGGCCACACCCGAGCGTGCAAAGACGCTGCCATCGGCGATAGCCTATCGCGTCACGTTCAATTATCTGGGAACCCCAACATGCCCGCACCACAGGCTACTCTGGAGAAAGGTCACTCGTACGTGTAGCCGCGAGAGAACTTGGGGCATCAGCAGGTGTGGCCACCGCGCAGTTTGGGCAAGCCCCCGGTGGCGGGCCGGGCGCCCCTGGCCTGGCCTGCGCCGAGGGCGGCCAGCTCGCCGTCGTCCTCCAGAAGCGCCTGCAGCTCCCCCGAGAGCGGAAGGCCCTTGGGGACGACGTCGACCCAGCCCTCGCCGGGGGCGGCATGCCAGCGGGTATCCTCGATCCTCGATTCTTCCTCCTTGACCCTCCTTCTCCTCCTAATCCTGCTCCTCCTCCTCCCCCTCTTCCTCCTGCTCCTCGATCCTCTTCGATCCTCCTCCTCCTCCTCCTCTTCCTCCTAACTTCTTTGTTTCTCTCTCTCTCTCGATCGATCGATCGATCAAGCACTCGACCATCAACGCCATCACCAGCGGCCGAATAAGAATGACAATAGTAGTGATATGGAAAAGTAGTAATGCCAATAATAACAATAATCATCGTCATCATCAGAATCATGATCATCATCACAATCACCATCACCATCACCATCACAACAGTCATCATCAGCAGCATCAGCACGAGCACCAGCATCAGCATCCGCATCCGCATCCGCATCCGTATCCGCATCATCATCATCTCTATCATCGTCATCACCACCACCACCATCATCATCATCATCATCATCATCATCATCATCATCATCATCATCATCATCATCATAATCGTCATCATCATCATGATCCTGACAATCATCGTCAGTATCAGCATCATCATCATCAGCATCATCATCGTCACCATCATCACCATCAGCATCATACTATCACCATCACCATCAACATCACCATCGTCATCGTCATCGTCATCATCCTCCTCACAATCATCGTCACCGTCATCATCATCGTCATCGTCATCGTCATCATCATCATCGTCATCTTCATCACCATCACCATCACCATCACTATCACCATCACCAGCACCATCGTCATCATTATCATCATCATCCTCATCACTATCGTCATTATCATCATCATCGTCATCGTCATCGCCATCATCATCATCATCATCATCATCATCATCATCGTCGTTACCATCATCGTCATCGTTATCAACGTCACCAGCACCATCACCAGCACCATCATCATCATCATCATCCTCACAATCGTTATCATCATTATCATCGTCATCGTCATCATCACCATCGTCATCGGCATCATCACCATCACCAGCATCATCGTCATCATGATCATCATCCTCACAATCGTCATTTGCATCATCATCATCATCATCATCATCATCATCATCATCATCATCATCATCATCATCATCATGTTCATCATCATGATCATCGTCATCATCAGCATCATCGTCATCGTCATCGTCATCAGCATCACCAGCACCATCGTCATCATGATTATCATCCTCACAATCGTCATTTGCATCATCATCATCATCATCATCATCATCATCATCATCATCATGATCATCGTCATCATCAGCATCATCACCATCGTCATCGGCATCGTCATCACCATCACCAGCACCATCGTCATCATGATCATCATCCTCACAATCGTCATTTGCATCATCACCATCATCATCATCATCATCGTCATCATCAGCATCATCGTCATCGTCGTCGTCATCACCATCACCATCATCATCACAATCATCCTTAGCAGCATCATCATCGTCATCATCCTCACAATCGTCGTCATCATTATTGTCATCGTCATCGTCATCATCATCGTCATCGTCCTCGACAATCATAATCACCATCACCATCGCCATCACCAGCAACTCGTCATCGTTATCGTCATCGTCATCGGCATCATCATCAACATCCTCATCGTCATCGTCGTCATCATCATCATAATCGTCATTGTCATCGACCTCACCATCACCATTACCATCCCCATCCCCAACACCATCACCATCATCATCATCATCATCATCATCATCATCATCATCATTCTCATCATCCTCACAATCGCCGTCATCATCATCATCGTCGTCGTGATCATCATCATCATCAACATCATCATCGTCATCGTCATCATCATCAGCATCACCGTTACCGTTATCGCCATCACCATCACCATCACCAGAACCATCACCAGCACCATCGTCATCATCATCATCATCATCATCGTCATCATCCTCACAATCATCATCAGCATCAGCATCATCCTCATCCTCATCCTCATCTTCATCCTCATCCTCATCCTCATCTTCATCCTCATCATCGCAATCATCATCATCATCATCATCACCCTCATCACCATCATCATCATCATCATCGTCTTCGATCCTCCCCCTCTGATCCTCACCCTCGGCCCCTCCTCGACGCGCCTCGATCGAGGGTGGAGGGCGGTCGAGGAGGGCTCGAGGGGAGGCGAACGGGGCGGATCAGAGGGGGAGGACCAGAGAGGATCGGGGAGGAGGAGCACGGGGGCTCGGGGGTCGAGGAGAATCGTGAATCGAGGAGGATCGAGGGTCGAGAGGGGGCTCAAAGGGGAAAGCTGCAAGATGGATCGTGCCTGCCTCCAAACAGATGCAGGTCCAGGGAAGAAAGAGGCAGGGGCGACGGGTGAGGGGAGGGAGGTGTCGAAGGCGAGGATTAGAGGGGGGGAATCTCAAAATGGTAGGATCTTAGGGGGGAGGAGGGTCATCGAGGACAGAAGAGGATCGAGAGGGAGATGTAGGATAGAGGCGCGAGGATCAAGAAAGATCAATGAGGATCGGATTCCAGGATGGAGGCCCAGTTGGGGCGCTTCTGAGGGGGGGCCCGTGGGCCTTCGAAGAGCCCTGAGGACCTCCAAGTAACTGTGTAGCAGCATGTCATAAGTCGGTCAAGGGGCAGTGAGAGGGGAGAGAAGCGCTCGAGGACGACAGAGGACACAACAAAGGGAGGGAAGAAGAGACGAGAATCTGAACTTGACACGCAGTGCGCTCTAACGTAGACGGAGCACCGCTGAGAGCCTAAGAGTGGGCTGGTAGAAACCGAGGGATCAGAATGCTGATTGTCAGGGCCCCAAGCGGGACTGTACGGATGGCCTGGTACACACATGGTTGGTCGCAGTCGGGATGGCCGCGGGGTAGGTTCTGACTGTAGATTGACGGCTGTGCCTCTCAAACGCCAGTCAAAGATACGGGGTGAGTTTCATGATGCACGTGGTAGCGCAGCGTCCAGCCTCCAGTCTCCAGCCTCCAGCCTCGTCCTCCTCCTCCTCCTCCGTCTCTTTCTCCTTCCCCTCCTCCTCATCATCATCATCAACAACATCATCATCATCATCATCATCATCATCATCATCATCATCACCATGATCATCATCATAATGTCATCCTCATGATCATCATCATCATCATCATCCTCATCGTCATCATCATCGTCATCATCATCATCAGCAGCATCGTCATCATCACAATCAGCATCCTCATCATCTACAGCATCAGTAGCATCAGTCACCATCATCATTATCATCACCATCCTCAACAGCATCATCACCATCACCATCACCATGGTCATCAACATCAT